TGTGTATTGGTTGTCCGTCCAGTGACCGAAAAAGGGCAAAATGAATCCAACAAGGCATACACCACGGTGGAAGACTATAAAGATCATCCAGTATACCCGATTCTTGTTCGCCATAAAGAAGTCTTTCGACAGAATCTACCCCAGGAGTTGCCTCCCGAGAGCCATGGCGTACAAGAAATGGAGGTGAACACTACTGAACCAATTTTCCGCCAGCAGTGGCGCCAATCGCCAGCTCAGGAACTGGAGATACGTTCTTGGGTTGAAGAGATGTTGAAGGCGGGTTTGATTCGGCCGTCGTCATCTCCTCATGGAGCACCCACATTCTGCGTGAAAAAGCCCGTAGGATGGTGGATTGTGCATGATTTCAGGGCGATGAACTATCACACCGTCAAGACTCTGCCAATGCCGAGAAAGGATACCATATTTGAAGCTATGCAGGGGGCGTACTGGTATTCTTGCATGGATATATTGAGTGGATATTATCAGTTTCGAATGAGAGATGCAGATATAAAGTACACAGCTTTCCAAACCGCTGATGGATCGTTCGAGCATCTGGTCATTCCTATGGGTTTGTCAAATGCCCCAGCTACTTTCGATGAAGCTATTCGAAAACTCCTTAAGGACCAGGCAAAATTCTGTTGTCTTACTTTGATGACATTTACGTCTTCACGAGAGCGAACGAGTTGGAGATACACTTGAAGGCATTAGACAAGGTACTGTCCCGGCTGGAAAAGAACAAGTACTACGTCAAGCATAGTAAGTGCGTCTTCTGTTCGGATGAAATTCCGTGCTTAGGGGACTACATCGGTCGAGATGGAGTACGAATTGACCCGAAGAAAGTTGAAATGCTGCGTGAGTGGCCGCGACCGGCAACTAGAAGCGAGCTACAGCCATTTTTGGGGACTGCCACATACGTTCAGCGCTTCTGCGAAGGTTTTGCACAAGATGCTGGACCTCTGTTTGGAATGCTGAAAGGCAACGACAAAGCATCAAGGAGAACGAAGTTAGAGAGGACGGAGGAGCTCATTGGGCACTTCGAAATCCTTAAACGACGGATTTCGTCGACACCAGTGCTAGCGGTAGCTAATTTCACGAAACCATTTCACATGCGGATGGATGCCAGCGACTTCGCGATAGGTGGAGTGCTCTTTCAGCTGGAAACCCGTGAAGGACAGCAAGTAGAGCGTGCTGAAGCTTTTCAAGGAAGAAAATACAAAGGTGCCGAAAAGAATTATTCGATCAGGGAAAAAGAGCTTCTGGCGAATCTGTTCGGACTTCAAGTTTGGAGAATTTATCTTCTCGATAAATCATTCATCGTTGAGACGGACTACAAGCCTCTCGAAACCATCTTCTCGTAGAAGAGTATTTCGCGGAGGATAGCTCGATGGTATGACGAGCTGAGTGAATATCCTATTGAGTTCAAGTACATACCAGGACCGACTAACGTAATTGCAGATGGCTTGGCAGGGTCGTACCATTGACGGATCAAGTTGTAGAACTCTTCCATCTGACATTTTCCGGCGTCGTGGATCTCGCCGCAGCCGCGACAGACGAAGCGGCAGCGATCCGACGGATGGCCCCTCTTACCGCATCGCTGGCAGGTTAACCTCTTCCAGCAGTGCAGATCGTCATGGCGGTGTGAGCCGCAGTGAATGCAGCGTTGGAATTGAGGATGTCTGTGTGGGGATCTTTGGCCTGGGCTCTCGTCTCGAGGTGGCGGAGCTTGTCCAGACGTAGTCCGATCGGGTTCATTTGGCGCAGTCACTTGGGTCTTCGACTCTCCTTCCGTTGTGACAAGGTAGATCCGGCGCAGATCACCATCTGACTCCTATCCGCTAAGACCCGAGTCACTGTCACTGTCCGGCTGGTTTGTGGTCGCGACGGCTTCCACCTAAGCCAGGACGAGCCGAGCGTTCCAAGCTATGCAGCTATGCATACGTCGCGAAGAGATCGGAAGTTAGTCAACGG